ACCAGATGTCATCCTTGTGGTTCTTGAGGTTACAGTTTTCACTTGATCCTGCCAGCATGCGGCAAGGACCCCTGCAATGTGCATTGCAGACTGTGGGGGAATGGCCAAGGTACTACATCTACTCTAGACGTGGCACTTTGGTTCAAAAGGGGGCAGAGTGGTGTACTTGCAGGGAAGTCACGCTTTCTCCATCTGTTTTTTTTTTTGTTGTTGTTTATCTGCTTACATTCAAAGTCCATGTTGTTTCTATAACTGTTCTCAGAAGAAAGACAGTATTTCTGAAGCTGATCCTTTCACTTTCTTCAATGGGAATTCCAGGTGCTCATTGGAATTAGGCTATTTCCTGTGTAATCTGTACAACTGAGGAATGCCAGAAGACAAAATTAAAAAGGCCATCAAGATAAATGAAGTTTGGCACAGAGACTTCTGAACAGTTGCTCAATTTGTGATGATGGATCCATATTTATTCCCATAAATTGACAGTATGGATGCTTATTGTATTGGCTTGAATGCCAATTGCGTGCTCATGTACTTGGTTACTTCCAGCAAACATGAGGTCCTTACAAGTCACAATAACTTGTTAATAATGATACAGAAACTGCCCAGATGGTACAGTTTTTTGTCACACAACTCTGAGAATTTGACGGTGGGGGGGGGGTTTATGCATGAAAACATATGAATAGAAAGATAGATCAGTGGACTGAGAATGAAGAGGCACTCTAGAGTCATTATCTGTCATTTGTAATTTGGTCACATCCATTATATGATAAGTGAAAAAGTAGCCTCTGTCCCCAGTCATTGTCTAAATAATTTATAAGCAACTCGCAGTCTCTTCAGAGTAAAACCAAAAAGTGAAATCCTGGCACTGAAAACTCAAAATCCAATTATTCTTGAGTTTTCTTTCAAGATTCCTGGTGGCTAGGGGAAGATGTAGACCACAGGCTTCCTACCTCCTGGTGCCATGGTGGCAGGGATGGCTGGTGGCACTGACCACTCCCTAAGGGTTACTCAGCCACACATAGGACATGGATTTCTTCCACAGCCCCAGTTTTGTGCTCCTGACAAAGTCCCCCTACTTTCCTTTTACTACTATTTAAGCATTTGGTTCTTAGTATAGAAATCTAATAGTACACGTAAAGTAAATCTATTTGATAGATGTGCTTTTGTATATGTTACACACAGACAATACGCAGTGTTCACGTTCACCAAGATTTCACACGTGATACCGTTTGCTTGTGAACCCAAGAAAGTTGTCGGCTTACAAATGTCCCATTCTGTTCAAAGACAAGGGGCTGGGAGAGAGGAAGGGAGAAAGAAACAGTTTCTTTTTCAGTTTTAGAAAGAAAAACAGCTAATGCCACTATTTGGGTTAAGGATTATTAAGCTCCTGTTCAAATTGTGACTTAATAGGTCTAGTGGTAATTATGATCCTAATTAAAAACAAAAAAAACGTGAAACAACTTTTAATACTCAGTGGTGAGGTATTTTATATGGGACTGTACTTGGCTTCCAAACAATTGTTTCTATATAATGAGAAAAAAACCTGCATGTGGTTTTGCAAGACCCTGTCAGTCAGGTTTTAGGTTTGTGTTGGTTCGGGGCCATGGTGATTAGAATCTCCAAAGTTGGAGGGGTTACGGATAAAAAGCCCTATTTCCTAGTCAGTGGTGAGTGTCTCATTTGGGAAACTTTGTCATGACATATCTTAATTCTCCCCTGTGACTGAGTCACACAAATGTTTCCTAACTCTGAGTCTAAAGCTGCTCAATTGGGAGGCAATTGTCAGCATTTTAGTCTCTGTGTGAGTTGGTGTGTGAATGAGACTTATGGTGTGACCTCTAGCATACTCTGTTCCCCATTCTTCCCTCTTCCTAGGAGGTTTTGTTTTTTGTTCATGGTGTGTCCTAGGAGATAATTGCTGCATTTTGGACTTCATCTACTTGCCAACGTGTTGAGCATCCTTGTTGTTTGTCTTCTTTTCTTTCAGTCTTTTTCCTATGGTGCCTGTTTTATTTATTCGAAGAACATATCTTGTCATTTCCATTTATCTTCATCTTATCCATCTAAACGTGCTAAGAATTATATCGAAGGCTCATTCACAAGGAATACAGGCTGGAAAATGGTTTTGATATTAGGCAACCGAAGAAAAATCCAGAGGGATTCAGAAAATGTTTGAGTTCTGCATAGTTTGATGGTTCTAATTTGACCTTAAAAAGATGAGATGGTTCAGCTTTTTAACAAGCCCTAATTCTGAGGTGCTCAAATCAGTGGTTTTGGGTTGGGTTCCCCTTTCTAAAAAAAAAAAAAAATCATCTGAAGATACCCCAAAGGGTAGATGAGTCCTTACCGTGGAGAATTGTGGTAGGGAATATGCCTTTTAATGAGCAATAAAGCCAACAGAGAGTAACTGGGTAAAACTTTCATTGAGCTAGTTCTGTAAGAGCAGGATCTAGCCCTAAAGGTTATATAGAACCATCTTGTAGCAATATTCTGATTTTTATCACAACCACAAATATTTTAGTGTCAGAGTATGGCCAAGCCACCTGCAAATGTTTGTGATGGCCTTACTCCAATGAAAACAAGGAACAGCAATGAAAGTCTTCATTTAGACCCTGATAATAGGCTGTGCTCCAGTAACAGAGAATGGGACCCACCTGTGCCCACACACAGCTTGTTTCATGGTGAGGAGTGGGCGAGTTCACAGCAGCTGATGTTCCCGGGGGATGTAATTTTTCCCTACTTTCTTCTTCTCTTTTTCCTCCCTCTCCCTCCATTGCTCTCCCGCCCTGCCTCTCTCTTATTTTCCCTATCCCCTCCTCTGGCTCTGGGGGCTTGCATGTAAAATGAGATCTTAACACAAGGCATGGGAAAACATGACAGAATGAGCATTGTTGGGCAAGCCTTACTGGCACCGTGTACATACACACATTGTTTCAGGTATTAAACTTCAGCTACTACTGAACAGGCATCCAGCCAGACTAATCAGAAAAAGAGAAGAGCATGAAGGTTAATAACTTGAAAAATAAGACAGGATGCAGTCCCACTTTTCTCCCACCATGTACCTTGGTTGAGAACAAACAGCAACATTAACATTACAGCAAACTGGCAGGCTGATATAAAGGTCCCAGGTAGTATTTATGTGGTGAAGCAGGCTCTAATCTCCTTGCCATCCCTCCCCCCCAAGCCTTTAGCATGTGGGAGGAATGCTGTAACTAGTAACTACTTGTGCTGATGAAAAATCAGTTGAGGAACACTTAGCAGTGAAGGATGTTTTTGGCTGATTAATAGCACATCATTTGGAGATAAGACACATGGAGGAAAAGCAGTAAGGCATATGGAGGAAGGGGAGAAAAAATTATATAAGACATACATTTGTCAAAGGTATAGAAAGGCAGATAAGCTGGATCAGCTCAAGATACGGGACTCTGAACTAGGCTGTACAATAGCAGGGTTTGTTGTCTTTTTTTAAAGAACTTAATTTTTTCAGTGACTGAGTATTCAGCAATGTATGCAAAAATTATGGTCAGACAAATTAGTGACAATGCAGTACACTGGTTACTTTATCTGGGCACATGTTTTGCTAGGTAAGTTGTCTTTTGCAGACCAGCAAAGACTGTAGGTGGCTGCAGCCTAACAGCTCAGTGTTCCTGGAGAAAGTAACCTACTGCTGTTTTTCAAGCTACTGGCAGACATAACTAGCAATTATTCCAGCTTGAAACTCACTGGTCCACCTCTGTAGCTGAAATGGAACACAGGAGGATTGAGGGTTGTCAAAGATCCAGCAAGTTGTTAACATTGTACTAAATGGAGAGGGAGATGCGAGTCCAGTTTTAGTGAACTTCAGGCTCCAAAGTGGACATAGAGCACTAACCATGTGATGTAGATTATCTGTTTTCAAAGGGGTGTAGAGCATTTTAATCAAGATAAGATGGTCTTCTGGCACAGCATCAGAAGGGACAAATTGCAACCACATTTGGTGAAATCCAAGCAGGTAGAAGAAGGCAACAGAAGGGGATTTGGAAGATGCCTCTGGTGCCTGTATGTACTGAAGAACCATGGTACCAGTGAGAGGACAGCCTTTCAGTCCCCACAGGCAGCATTCCTTTTGACACTTATGTGTTTCCTTCCTGTTCCTTTTCTTCCCTCTCAAGATCCCATGTATCTCTCTCTGTTTCCAGTTTATCGTCTTTTCATGGGGTTGAATTCTTTCCAAACAGAGGGGCATAGGAAATGAAGTGGTCATGAAAACTGCATGTAATGGGACAAACAGAGGTTTGGTGACACAGTGGAGAGCAGACTCATTGTGACTGGCCTTGGTGATTTGGAAAACAAAAAAACCCACAACTTCTCGGCTGTAATCTTAATCTGAGGGACCCAAGATGGCAGGACAAGGCTCGTCTGTGGCAAGCACAGGAATTTTACCATAGCAGGAAACTATGTGAACCTGCAGCTGCTGGTTGAGTTCTTGGAGTATCCTGCTATCATCCTTTATAGCTTGAGGAAACAGAAAAGACTCCTGTAAGAGATGTTCAGCAGCAGAAGCCCTTCCATAATGCAGCTAGTTCTGGAAGGCACTTGGAATAGGCTGGTAACTCAGCGGGGTCTTTGTACATGCCAGACAAAGTCTCTATTTAAGTTCCTAGTAAGTTGGAGGAGTGCATGGCATCAAAGAGGCTATGAAATGATGTGCTTTTATTACATTCAAAGAGCAGTTCCCTTTCTGGGAAACCTGGGATAAAAGCCTCTGTTCCAAGTAGTGTATTTGAACTGAAGCACCACAGTATGTTGTGAGATGAGAAGAAATATGCAGTGAGAGATGAAGTATCAAATGACCTCTCGGTTACTTCATCAGGTCCATTCTGTAGCCTTGGTTG